TAATTTTAAATGAATTATAAGGATATTCAAACAAACATTTTTTATTTATAGCAGGATAATTCAAATTTGGTTCAGTGTTTCATTGGAATATATGTTTGTATGACGGTGTTTTCTGTTCTTCCCTTATTAGTTTACAAGAAACACAAGTATTCAAGTTCAAGGAGAATTATTTTACTTGCCGTAAAACAAAAAAAACTGAAGAGAGTCAAGTGACGTGGACTCTTAGGGAGTGGAGTAGGACTTTGTGTCTGGGGCCAGGGAAACTGTTTTTCCCCCGCTTTTCCCCGCCAACCTGATCCCCCAGCCCAGACGCCATAAATTATCATGGTAATGTAGATTTGTGCGAGACGCCAGAAGGGTCCGTATCCGGCTGTTATGCCGGAATCAGAATCAGAATGAGAATCAGGACCCGGACCGGCCTCAATTACCTTTTGTCTTTGGCCACGGGAAAGTACCAGTACTCGTTGAATCATAATTGCAGTTGCGGATGGCCCTTGAAAAACTTTAATTGCTTGACTGGGGGATGGATGGGGATGGGTACATATAGGGCATAAGTATAGTGGGTGGCAGGCCTTAAACCGATTTATTTGATTTATGGGCTGTAGGTGCTTAGTGCTGCCAGACAGGCTCCCCCATTGCAGTTTCGTCTTTCGCCAAATTGAATCAATAAATGTTGCTCGCAAAAAAGGGAAAACTTTTGCGATTATAATTTATTGTGTTTTAACCCCCACAACAGTTTTTTTCTTGCACTTGCAATTAATGTCAGACACACAGACGACAACGAGCCGAGAAAGAGACGGGGACAGCGGCAAAGAAAGAGACAGAAACACAGAGGAGACGAATAAAAAACAATAAAAGCGAATTACATTAAAATTACACAATCAGCAAAAAGCAGCGACGAAAGGAAGAAAATGGAAATGGAAACCTTGTTACAGTGCACTGGAAAAAAAAGAGAAATAATATAAAATTTGGAATGTTGAAGATTGTATACTCTTTTTTGATTTTATAAAAATAAATGGTTTAAAAATTTCTTTAAAAAAATATATATGGCGAATTTGTATTATTATTTTTGTAAACTAATAGATTATTTTTTGAGTACTTAAAAATTGTATAATCATAAATATATTAAATTTTAAAGGTTTTTGAACCATTTGTATACATTTCAGAAAATTTGTGAACATTTGTTTAAGTGTATACTTTATATTATAGTACTGCAATCGGATTCTTATCAGTATTGCCAGCCTCTGATCGAAATAGTTAAACCGCCTGTGAGGGTATAGAAAGCGAAATGATGATGGGGTGGGCTATGTGGATTATTTCAGCGGGGAGTCTTGGCAACAGGTTCTTGAAACGCAATTGAAATTGTTGCTAAACGAGTTTTAATTAGACAGGCGAAGCTTGGCTGCTGCAGCTTCGACTAAAAGCGGCTAAAACAATGAGTTGGCGGCGGGGATGAAAGTCAGGTAATTCCGCAAAGGGGGGCAACTAATGGTATCCTAATTAGATGATAGTCGGTCCAGTCAATGCGAATGATGTGCTAAAATTGTGAATAATGTCTGCGTGTGTCGCATTCGCCGAGTCCCCGTGAGGGAAAATCAAATCGGAACTGCAGCACAAAAAAACTGCTCACTTAATTACTTTCTTTGGCGAATTAGCAAAGACGGAAATGAACGCGGAGATGAGTGGCAAAGTGGAGAAGAGATTGAGAGAAAGAGGAACGGATGGATGATTCTCTAGAGACGGAACCCACAGAACTGGCAATAAAATAGCTAATCACTGCTGATGGAGACTGCTGAGTGGAGTGCCAGGGGATGGACTCCATAACAAGTGAGCAACGAGAAATTAAGTTGTTGAATTGGGAGTAGATGGATAAAAAGGGAGCATGATTTTCAAAGAGTTTCTTGTATTTATAGAAAATCTTTCAAAGGAATTGTACTTAATTAATATAATTAATCTAATAAATAATTTTCAAAAAATGTAAAGTTTTATTTAACCGAAACCTAATCTTTTTTTTAACATTCATTTTCTTCCATATTGACTCTTTAATATTATAGACTTTTTTTTAATTTCCTAAAGTAACTCAGTAAATTATTTTGTAAACAAAAGTTTATAATTGCTCTCTGGAATTTTTTAACTGACGCTTCCGTTTCCGTTCAACTTTAATATGGCCCGCCAGAAGTCAACACTTAATTAAGCCAATGAAGTAATTATCATGAATAAATCATGGGCAGCTAAATGAAATGAATGAGCCCATAAGCGATGAGGCTGGCACGTGAAGCGAAGACACCTCCGCCTCTTTAGTATCCCCCGTCTTTTTAGGCATATTGCCCACTATATAGTGTCCAAGAGGAGGACCCCAAAACAGACGGACATTTGTCGCTGGGCGAGATTGATTGAGCGTAACCTCGACGCGTTTCTCATTGCCGGGCGAATCGCAGAAATTTCTTGGCGTTTCGCTGTGTGTTAAATAGCTGGAATCGCTGGGATCGGGAATGGGAATGGGATTGTGGGTTCCGAGACCCATGGACAAGGCATCTAGCTGTGGCCAGCGATGCATGCCATTCATCTGGCTGCCTGGACTTGTTTCTCTTTTTGTATCTTTTTTTCTATACCCCCCGTTTGAGGATTGCGCGAGCTGACAACGGAATTGATTTAATGCCTTTTTCCATCAGCCACAGGTGGAGTCCAGTTGTCCACCTCTCCAGTTCGGTCTGCGGCCTGTCGTCCGCATCTCACAGATTCGACTGGCTCCCCTTAATTGGGCTCACTTTGGTGGCAGCGCTTATTCATGCCTCTGGTTGGGCCACTTTTTTCCACCGATCCCAAACCGCCTGGCAGAAAACATTTTAATTATGGCCGAGTGATAGGAACAATCGTATGGGCATTCCTGGGGCCAAGAGGCGGGGTTTTGATAAGCGCATAATTGCCTTCAATTAAGCTGGATAGCTGGCAGCAAAAAACTTGTGGGACACCTTCAACTCCAAGTTAATTGAGTTCTCTTTGGCTGTAAGTAAGCGGAGAATTTCAACTACGATTTACAGAAAAATAAAAGGTATTTATTTCAGGGCTTTAAAATATGCACAAATATTCACATTTCAACAGAGCTTTTATTGGGTTATTTGATTAATCTGAATCAAACCCATTTTCAAACTGACAATGGCAAAGAATCCTTTTTAAATAAACACAGTTCAGGTGTCAGAGAATTTTCTAGTGCCTGCTAGCGGGAATAAATCACAGGGCATCAATTATCTCAATCGAAGTTTCGTTTAAAATTAAATCGTGACATGTCGAACCAATTTTCCCAACCCCTTGTCCACCCCATTTAACTGGAAAATACCATGCATTTTGCTTTTCTCTTTCATTTTCGACTCTGAAATTTTCATTTTGCAAACTAACAAAACAAAAAACCAAAAAAAAAGAGAGCAAAGGAATTTGCATTTTCCTCGCATTTTTTATGGTAAAATTGAAACATTTATTTATAAACAGAGGACAGGCCAGTCTGAAATCGATAAATAAAAATAGGATAAATCGGCAACAAAGGACGAAACATCAAAAATGAAACGGCATTTCAATCAACACACAAAAGTGTACCATCGAAATGGATTGGAGAAGGGAATGGGAATGGTATTGGGATTTCGTTTGGTATTGGGGGTACGGAATGGCTTGCAGCAAGCCCGGATTCTGGTTTTGGTCGAGTTTCTGTCGATTTTGTAGTGTATTTCTTTTTTTTCGATTTCAGCCTTTTGGTTCTGATTTACCCCACTTTTTGTTTGTTGCCAGCAAAATGTTTTCACACCAACTTGGCCCGGAGAAGATTTTTTCTGGGCATTTAGCTCGCTTTTGTGATTTATTCGATGCTTTTCGGCATGTTGCATAAAAAGTGCAGCGGGGGCGGAGCTTGGAGCTCACTTGATGTTTTGGCCTTTTTGTTTTAATTAAAATACCAACTTTAATCAATCGCCAAGGTCCGTATCGGAAATTGGGAAAATGCAACTATGAGTGGAAGGAGGGGTCGCTTTAATGGTTCGGCATTTTAATGGATTTCAAGATGAGCAACGAGGAGTATGGAGTTTGAGTTCGACGAGCTCTTGTCCACAATTGGTTTTCCATCAAACAAATTGAAACACTCGCTCAGTCACTCAGTTAGTCAGTTAGTCAGTCAGTCGGTTGGTCGATTCTCTTGACTGCACTTAACTTAAAAACGTTTCATTTTATGTGGCCCCGGCCTGGTCCTCCTGGTCCTTCTGCTCCCGGTCCCCACATCTCCTCGCCTCGAAGTCCCTGGGGACTTTGAGGTTGAGGTTGGGTTTCGGGGTTTATCGGGGTTGGTGTCGGGCTTTGGGGTCGGGGATGGCGCCCATAAAGTATGCAACTTCATTGATAACATTTATTTCAAATGCACTCAAAAACCACTCAATAGTATGAAATTTGTTGCAGTTTACCTGCTCTCCACACACTCACTCGAACCACATATGTAGCTACTGCATCCCTGGGGAAAATGTGGAGCGTGCTCGTATCGCATGTCGCTTTAGCCCTGGCAAATGAGCAGCCAGATGAGCATCAAAAAACCGGGGAGGTTCGACTTGGGATTACCTCTTAATATAATATAAACAATATTATTATTTGTCTTAATAAATTGTAAATAAATATTAATAAATTGTTGCTTTGCAAGATATTTTCTTTAAATCCTACTCTCATCTTATCAGCAATGTTCTGGAATATTTTATTTTCCTATGTAGTAATGAAGTGTACTTTTTACGTTCATCGACCTATTCGACAAATGCGCCCTTAAAAACCTTGAACTTACTATTTCAACGACAACTTTAAATAAATAAACAACTGATAGCACACCTTTTATGCCATGCACACAACTCATATATAATACGCAATACTTTAAATGACAATCATCAGCAATATTAAACGTTTCTTTAGACCTTTCACAGGTAGTTCGCTTTCATTCTTTCTGAATCGTTTGTTTTGAGTGGTTATAATAACTTACAATGTCTAAGCTGAGTATCCTTTTTTTGTGTGTCTTCATTGTCGGAGATTTGGATGGATCATTGGCAGGATTATTTCTCAATCCTGAAAATCGGTATAGGCAATCCATCCAAACTGCTCTTGAGCCAATGGATGGTTATATCAGGAAAACTGCAGCCCAGCTAAACAGGATCGAAGGTGAGCAGAAGGCCATGCAGAACAATCTTCAGGCGGTACGAAACGGACAGGAACTGCAGGTGACCAAAATTCACACAATGATGCACGACCACCTTAATCTGACTGGAGAACTTTTGAATCAGATCATCGCGCAGCAAGACGAATCGACCAGGTCTCTTTGCATTACCAAGGAAGACTTCGAGACCAGTTTGAAGAAACTTCAGACCAAAGTGGAGGTCGAAATACTTGCAGTTCAGACCAGTATCGAAAAGCTTTTGACCAAAATCGAAGGGCAGTATTTTCAGACGACAACTCTTAAGCCCCTCTCCACAACCTCCTCAGAAAACATCCATTCAAAGTTCCAGCTGATCGGCGATCGATATTTCTACATTGAACGAAATATTAAGGCAACTTGGACTAGTGCTGAATCCCACTGTCTACGGATGGGTGGTTACTTAGCCACCATCAACGAAAGTGAGTTTAATCCGATCAGAAAAGTACTCGAACGTATGTCTTACGCCTCCTACTGGCTTGGCATCCACAGCAAGAACAATACGGACCAGTTCGTGTCTTTGGCCACCGGAAAGACACCTTCATTCCTAGAAGGGCTTCGAAAACACTTCCAACCTGAAAGTTGCGTGTTTCTAACAAGCACACTTTTGACTAATGGTAATTGCAATTTGGAGCGTTTATTCATTTGTCAGCAAGACAATCAAGTATAAATAAAAATTTGTAAAATTATTGTAACAATTTTAAAATATTGTTACAAAATATATAACGTTGATAAAGAACATACATTAAAGTGCTTTTCCATATACAACCGGTTAAAACAGGGGGTGAAGTGCGATGTTATAAAGGTAAGCTGCAAATATATATGGTTAACAGAGAAATATAATTATTTAGGGCCGAGTAAAAACAATGTAATACTGCAAATTTGTATTTAATATCAGCAGGTGCGATCTTTATGCTTTTCTGATCTCACTGAGAGTCTCGTTTGTTTGTACATTTAAATAATGGATTTTAAAGTTTTATTGAAATATTAATTTCAATGCATTCAAAAGTGAATTAGAAAATGGAAATAAGAGAGACTTATTTTTCTAAAATGTATTTTCTTAAATATGGCGAAGCACAGTATACCATTCGAATAGTGAAAAAACCTGGGTATAAATAGTTCTTTATTATATTTCCCATATGCTTTGCATGTCTGCCCTTGCCTGCCCCCAAAAGAATGTAACAATATATTTTGCCTTTGTATTACATAAATTTCATTGAAGTGCTTCCATTCATTTCCCGTTCGATATGTGTGCATACAGGCTCTATAAATATTTCACTGGGGAGATCGGGCAAAAACACACACGCGCGCAGGCAAATTCAAGGATATATACGTATAGTATAGGTGGAGGAAAAGCAGGAAAAGCAGCTGCCGCGTGCCTATCAGGTTGACATTCAATTAAACTAAACCTGGGCCAGGTCCCAAGAGCCTTTCAGCCATCTCGTACTCGGTAACCTTGAGCCACTGTAAATGGCATCTTTCATCTGGCACTTGAGTGAGTTTTCCCAGAGATACTCGCATGTGCATACTACATAATATACATATTCCAGCCAACACTCGAACGATTTTCACTTATCCTTGAACACAAAAGTATTGCATTCTTGTTTAATTACATTCATATTTTGGCAAAGGCCTAGAATCACTTACTTGGCGTCCGGAAATTAATTGCATTTGAGGAATTTTATTGGTAAACGCTTCATCGAATGTCTTTCTTCGCTTATTTAATTGCAAATTAAAAACTTGACAGCAATCATTCGGTTCAATTACCGTAGAATATTTCATATGCTAGCTTAACTTTGAGAAATCAAATAAATACTGTGAGTACCTCGATTTTAAATTACATTTTCACTCCCCGAAATATCTGGGAAATATATTGCGTAGCTTACCAAATAATTTAGCTGTCTGCCCACAATTTCATTCCCAATTAATGTTAGTTGTGCGGCCTTTAAACCTGATTATATTCCCAGCTTCCCTTTGTTGATATTTCCCCAGCCGCTTCATCAGCAGCCATAATTTCCATTATAACTTATTGTCTTTCTAATTGAATGAACCGTGGAGTGGGGGAAATGGGGATATGGCCTTGCCCATGGCAAAAATCTATTCATTGTATTTGCATACAATATGCCAGTTATTACACATGGATATGGCCTAATACACGTACATATATAGTTCTGTTGGCTGGAATTCGGTTGTTTGTGTCTGGGCTGAATAGCTAAAATATGGCCAGTTGGCTTGCCAGGGTCGATTTTTGCATAAATTAGACATGCGTCGCTTACAAAAGGGGTTTTGTGTGTTTGGAGGAGTTGCAAAACTGTGCAAATTAGGTTACGTTGTCAATGTTGTGGAAAATAAAATAAATACACTTAGTCTACGTGTGTGCGTGTTCGAGTGATTATAAGGAAAAGTCGTAAAGAGATGGCTCGATTTGACCCAAATTCCCGCAGGATGCAACACATGCAAATGTGTGCAATTTCATTAAATACCCAAAAAAGACATAACAATGCAAAGAACTGAGCACAGATAACAAATTACTTGCCATGAATAATAATAAGGAGCAGTGCCCTCGCTCCCTCTTTATGTCACCCAATCTCCTTATGTTGCAACTGTAATGAATATCAGATGATGACGATAATGATAGAAATGCAACCAAGCGACATTGACGATGACAATGCTGACAAGCCGATGAACATAAAAGATATGAGCGAGAATTTCCATGGGGCGAAAGTAGGAGAATTCAAAGCGGTGTTCTCGTATAGAATTTCAGAAAAAACATATTTATTTTCTTATGTTTATATTTACAAATATAAAAAAAATTCAGAAAGTACAAAGTAACACGTCTCCGTCAAATCGATATGCGCATGTTAAACTTCTGGCATCGCTCACATAACATGAAATAGATCATCGTTTCATATTAAATATATTTCGGATTAAAATATATAGTTCCTAAAATTTATGAAACACATTCTCTTATCAGTCATTTCAAAGATTTCTGCTATTTTTGAGAACAGCTTCATGGCAAATTGCCAGTGCCAAACTGGGAAACAATGAGTAAAATTTCATTACCGGACGATGGGACGATTTCCACTACAAAGATGAGAACGCTGATGGGATGGCGCAAAAAAAGGGGTAATAGAGGATGGGCAGAAGGAGGAGGAGGTGCTGCAATCTTGACGGGAATTGAAATTGAAAAGAAAATGAATGAAATGTGCCGCGAGGAGGGGGTGGGGGGGAGGTTGAAAGGACGGGGAATCAGGACCCAGAGAACAGCTTACTTGGCTGAGCTGCCTGTGAAGTCCTTTCTCAGTTGTCGGGTCCTCCTCATTGCCATTCTTGCTGCCTGTCAGCGCGACTGTCATATCGTACCCCCCTCGAAAACCCCCTTCCAAACCCCTCTAGTTGTCCGCTGGTTATTTGCATTAAAAATATTATTCATTGCAATCACAAGGATTTGCGCAAAAATGCCTGCAATGAGCCGTTGTCGCTACATAAAATGCAATTGCCGGGCGAAAAAAGGACCAAAAGTGATGGCGGGCAAGGAAAAACTGCGATGATTCCTTTTGTCTCCAGCGGAATAAGCGAATAATGATATAACTGTGACACAGTTTAACTGCCGGCACTTGTGGCACTCGAAAGGGGATTTGAATTTCAGAAGATTAACGATGACAAATCAATGAATGAAATACAAAAAGTGAATTCGTTCTTGTACATAAAAGCTCACAAGCTGTTTTTAAAATGGGAAAGAAATTAAGAATCGCAGTTCCAAAAAATTAATGGCAAAAATCCTCTTACAAACGATTAAGCTTGTGAAAGCTATCGGCAAATTAAAAATTCCGATTAATAAGAAATCCTCCTTTAATCGATTTAACCGGTTAAAAATGTGCAATATGCACATTAATCCGGCAGACAACATATCCGCTTTCTTGTTGTATTCTCGCCAATGATGTACAATAATTGAACCGATTTCAATGGTCTATAATTAACTGGCCTTGATAGCTGATTTCCATAAATGCTTTTTCCACTGGGCCGGCAACTAATTGCCGTGAATTTCAACAGATATGCGACTAATGTGCAGTTGCCGCCAAAGTAGCAATAAATGGAGAACACACAACGGCAACATCTAGCAGCAACATCGCCTAGCAGCAGCAACACCAACAGCAACAGCAATGGCGACAGCGACAACAGCAACAGCAGCGGCAGCATCAACAACATCTGCACTTTGATGTTGCCTCATGTTGCACAAGGACCAAGGCTGGAGGAAAAGGGGTTTCGGGGGTTTCGGGGGTTTCAGGGGACTGCAGAAGGCAAGGAAAACTGGCAGCCCAGAGCTGATAAATTGGAAGTGCATTTGACGCTGCTGGCGGAGAAGATGTTGCCGCTGTTCCACTGAACCAATCGCTGGGGGATTTAATTCTCTTGAAAAATTCATATTTATTTGAAATCAAAATAATTAGGTACTTTTCATAGGTTCATTATTAAGATTTTGTATTTAAGATGTGTGATTTTAATTATTCCTTTTCAATATGTTTTCAATAGCTGAGTAGCGCTATCAGTTGTCTAGTTGATCGGTTGATTAGTTTGTCGATCGTAGGGTTAGTGGATTCAAGGCTTTTGGGGGAGCGGTTGACGAATAGGTGCTTGTTTGTTCATCTCTCTGTGAAACATTCGCTCTTTAGTTCGTGCACTTAAGTGCAATACTACACATTACTACGAAAGCAAATGTAATCTTAGGTTGAGGTCAAGAAAAGTGCTGACAACTGAATTGCATAACACTTGGTAACAAAATAATGGTAATAATTAAGACAAAACAAATAAAGGTTTTGACGATCACATCTTTAATATCGTCACCATCTTTAAAACTTGAAATTGTCGTAAGGCCAAAGGTCTAAACCATTTAAAAGGAATCATAAAGTTAAAATTAAGTTTAATATATTACAAAAATGTTTCCAGATATTTTTAAAGTTTTCAGTAATATAAACACATGCTTATTTTCCTCTGTGCATTGCTTTTATTGTTGCTGCTGTTCCTAATATGGGTGATGATGTTGCTGTTGCATTTGCATTCGCTGTTGCTGCTGCTGCTGTTCTTGTTGCAGTTCCAGTTGCTCTGGGTCTTCGGTGTTGTATATCCAGCCTTCGCCTGCGTCCCACCGCCTCAGTCGGTTAATGAAACTGCCAAACGAGGCATCGCTGCCACATCCGCTGTCTCACGGAGCGACTATCTGGCTCTCTGTCTGCCCCCCGGAGCAATGCCTTGGCCAAGTGCTGCTGCTGCTGTTGCTTCGGCCTGTGACAGCGGCAACATCATCATCACCAGCAGGCAATAGTCCCTCCCCCTTAGGATCCCCACCCACCGAACCAACGAACAGTCACGCTTGCTTGTCAAACACTCTGGCAGACTCTTACGATCTCCGCCGGCTTCGGTTGCATCTCCTCCTCCTCCTTCCACTCCCCCTCCAACATGGCAAAATCCATTTGCATATTTGCATCCTTATGCCTGACAGTTAACACCCCCCATCCCCATCCCCCCTCGCACTCCCCGATTTTCCACCTTTTCCAAGCGGCGCGCTTTTAACGACAAAGTGTGAAATTTCATTGAATTTGAGCTCGTTGACAAAAGTGGAATGGCAACAACAACAACGACTAGCTGCAGCAGCAACATTGCAGGTGTTGCAACTTGTTGTTGCTGCTGCTCTCGTTGTTTTGCAAATTAATTTAAATTATGGTTGTTTTTTTTTGGACAAGCTTTTTATGCCACATTAGCTGAAGGCTGGTGGAAATTTTCAATTGGAGAAGGGAACCAGCTAATTTGTTGGAAATTGATAGCCGCAATTAGTCTGCCGTTGTTGTGAAAACATCCACTTTATTATAGTATGCTAATTTTCTGGACAACCAATTTAAATCGAATCTGTAACAAGGTAATTCACTAAAATGTAGCTTAACTGTTATCTACCGTATTTAAAGAAAAGATTTAAAAAATTTTTGAATCTCTAATATTTTAATGTTATTGTGTTAAAGTGAGTTGTAGTTTAAACCCAGTTTCTCATTTAAACAGAAATATTATCTGCGTTAAAATGTTGTTTTGAAAATTCCAGAGCAGCCCCTTCTGCGCAATTTGAACTATTTAAGCCACTAGAAAAATCCAATTTATACTCGTTTACTGCGTGAAAATAGTTTTGACCCATTAACCCATGGCGCAACATTTTTTCCGCCACTTTTACTCCACTTACCCGCAATGAGGATTCTCCGAACTTGAGCCACACGACTCTGGCTTTAAGTAATTTTCTAATGACACCACAGAGGAAAAATGACTCTCGGGGACTTGGGGGCTACCCGAGTTGTCTCCTTTCCCCCCTTATTTTCCTGTCCTGCTCCTGCTCATTTTCCAGGCTGCTCCTGCTGGCGACGTTCATTAGATTAAAAGCAATTTACAGTAAAACTTTTTGCCACAAAACGCCTTCTGCCCTGATGTTCCTCCGCCCCTAGCTTCCCCACCCCAATCCCCCGTTGAGCTGCTGCTTCACACACGTGCTGCAAGTCACATGTGCCCCAAAACGCCGTGCAAATGTTGCCACCAGTTCGTCAAACACTGAGAAAAAATAGTAGAACTAGTAATCGAAATATCTAACATTGAATTTTAGTTAAAGTTTTAGAGCAACGTTCTTTTTTATAAAAAATAAAATTGGTAATTTTCCTAACTTAATTGTTATTGTCTCTCTTAATTGGATTGTCTCATAAAAATTTTAAGAATAATTAAAAATCTGTATTTTAATTCCAAGTACCTACTTTTATTAAAAATTCTGTAACACTACATAAATTTATTTCTTTTAAATTCGAACTTTCTTTTATCAATTTTCCCCTGTGTAGTCATTTGGTGCTTTTCGCTTTTTATTTTTGGAATTCAACAAATTTGCGGATTTGGTTTGTAATTTATTAAATTTATCGCATGCTCAGAGCGCCTTAGCAGTCGGGGAAATGGAAAGGGGGGTAGGGGGCCAAAAGCACCCAATGGGCGATGGGAGTGGATGACCTACGCCTGCTAATGTCTGCGGTTGCGCTTTTCCGGATGGGATGCTATGGGATGGTATAGAATCGTAGGGAACTGGGCCCACGGACCGAGTCTCCAGGCAGTGGCATCTGCAACATTTGTTGATGACAACCCAAAGACACAGAATGCAACATTTCGTGGAACATTTCGTTGGCCGTATTTTGTGTGCGGCACGCCCATTTAGGGGAAGTCATTCGGAGCTTAGAAGTTATTATTTTGATTTATAGAAAAAGTTCGTTTGGCGAGCGAAAGTTGCTCGTATATTTTGTAGGAAGGGGAATGAGGAGGTGTTTGGGGAGCGAAGAAATTAGTAGATAGCAGCACAGCGTTGAAAATGGAGAAAAAATAAGCCAGTTGTTTTTATTATAAGTGGTAAGAACTTTTTGCTTTTAAAAAGGGAAAAGGATTAGAATAAATGGTTCAGCATATGGTTGGGAAGTATATTTAACATGATTTCAGAAACTATTCTTATCTCACAAATACAAAATTTTGTATATTTTCTAAACAAAAAGAGTCACTACTATGGTAAATTTTTGTTTACTAGTGATTTCTCATATTTTATACCGTTTCCAACTTAGTTTGAACATTATCTTCAGCAAGTTTTCTTTTCGTCCATCCACTGGAGCAGGGCAAACCTTCATCAGGGTTACCCTTTTGATCTTTCCTTTTCTCCAGATGCCCCGTTCCACAGTACGAATCATGGAGCTCGGAACAATCCGTGTTGCAGATGTTTCGCCAGCCATCCGAACTTATGTGATAGAGGCGAACAATGCCCCCGGAATAGGCATCCTTGCTGGTGGCATGGTATATTGCTCGTCTGGCCAAATCATAGGCCTCCTGATCGCTGAGATCGTGACGATATCCGGTGTCCAGAACACCCAGGGCATAGGGGGATCCACTGCCCACGGAGAAGACCTGACCATGTGACCTCATGCCCTCCGAATCCACGTAGATTAACTTGGGGCCCTCGTCATCAAAGCCAGCCAACATCATTCCCATTACCAGACCCATGCCCTTGTACTCCGTGGAGATGTTGCAAATAATCCGGGCAGCCGTATCCACAGTCATGCGTTTTCGATACCGAAGTTGGTGCAATCGGCACTCCTTGGCCAAAACACGATCCCAGTAGACACAATCGGCAGCTCCACCGGCCAAAGTGCCCAGCATATAGTCATTCAGTTCCACGATTTTCTTCATTGTCTGCGAACCAATATATTGCCCCGAAGTGGCCCTCGAATCTGCACACAATATCACTCCTCCGCGGTACTTGAAGCCCAAGGTGGTGGTGCCATGGTCAAAATCCATGCGAATTTTACAATGGGCTAGGATCTTTGGCAGATTCTCAGCGGGCTGCAAGGTGGATATTAGTTTTTAGAAGGTTTTTTAGGCTTATTATATTTAAATACTTACTCTTTCGAATGGTGGCGCCATCAGTGCATAGGGATTCTCAAAATTACTGGTGGCCTCGCGAAGTTGCTCCTGTTGCCATTCGGATTGCAAATCGTCGAAGCGCCGCATGAAAGGCATTCGATTCATACCACAAATGGCTTCCAAAGCCATGATATATAAAAAATGTAGTGGGTTATGGGGAATTTAAAACCAAATTAAATGTTGGAGGAGTAAAATCTCAAAGGGAACTGAAATAAATAAGAAGGAATATGGAATCTTGAAAATTTTGTTTCCTATTTGAGGATATTTTTTTTAGGAATACCATAAATAACTTTTTGATTTAGGATTTGATTTTGATTTGATTTTAGGATTATTTATTATTATTTTATGAACCAACAATAAATAGAAATTGAGTAATTTATAGGTGGGATTTGTATTCGCATTTTCTAGGAACTTAAAAAATAGTAGATTAATTGAGTAAACGTAAATTCTTATTATTCAATCGAAATTATGGCATAAGGTGTAAGATCTAATAGAAATGTAGGTCAAGTGGGATATACTTGCTCTGAAGACTGGCATGAGATCACCAACTCAGTTCTCATCCAACTTTCCCGTTCCGGTTGAAGGTTTCGCTCCAATGAGTAATGTGTGCAGTGGCAAGGCCAGTCTCCAATTCCAAATCCAATGGCATTTCATGGTTAGTGGGTGAGAGTTGCCGTTGGACACATTCCGCTGCCACCCAAGTAGAATCCAATGGACCTTCAGTGGGCAGTGGTGGCGCCACCGCAGAGATACACGACATTTTAATTGGACTGCCCGGGACATCATCGCCACCTGCAGAGAGATGCGAAAATCAGCCTAAAAACGAATGAGGAATTGGAGGTGTTTTCGCAGCGACCACGCCCCCCAGCAGGCAGTGGCAAACGGATTAGCCGCTAATTAAACGCCAATTGGAAATGTTTGCTAAACTGTTTGAGTCCACGGGTCGAGTCGAGTGGGATTCGGTTGCCTGATATATGACGACTCCCACTCGGCGACTCCCGGACTCTCTAGCTAGCTGCTCCCACTGCCTCCATTAGCGGACGCCATGTGTCACTGATCTAAATTTATGCAAATTGCCGAGGACTTGGACCCCGCATTCCCGTTCTCAGCCTGTTGAATTCCCCGCATCACCCATCCGCCACATTGGCACATTTCATTTTTGCACGCGCTTTGGATTGCAGTCTGCCCTTTTTAATGGGAAACTGGAGGGGGCGGGTGAAAATGGAGGAAGAGAATGGAGGGCTGGAGAAGAAAAATGGGCGAAAAAGTATCCTAGCTGGCTAAGCCATTCATTTGCCTTAAAAATACAAACGCTGTCATACCCTTTTAAAAGATATAATACTTTTAATTAAATTACATTACTTGATTTGGTATCTTATGGTTATGATGGAAAGGGAAACAAAAATGTTAGAAATCCGGTTTCTGAAATGTTTTCACTATTTTTTAAAGCTCTTTACAAAGAAGGTAATAAAGTAAGTTTATAAAAATTGAAACAAAAATACTTAAACCCTTTTAGCCCCACCCTATTATGCTAAATTAATAAGAATCCTATTAGATCTTTTTTAGCTGTTCTTAATATATCATTAAAAAAATAGATCTACAACTACTTACCTAAATATTACTCAATTTTATTATTATAGTATATCAAAATTCGACTTCTAAAGCTAAACTTTGCCCTCGTAGTTACTGGATAGTTTTGACTGCCAGCGCTGATTATTAAATCACAAGGCTGGGACAAACTGAAGCCGGAGCAGCAATCTGATATGCAAAATCTCGTCTATCCCAGACGATGCTGCTCCACGAACTCCACCTCCTGCTCTTGCTGCTGCTCCTGGCCATCGCTCCACCCACTTCCCCCTTTCGCGGCATCTGTCCTGCGTTAATTACAGCCCAGTTTTGTGCACTGGCAACAACTTGTTAAAAATTTCCGCTGCCAGTTTATTAGAGGGCAACTAACTAAGGCAGCAGCGTGGAAGTATCGCCCCATTCTCTCCCTTTTTTGCAGCCTGAAGTGGCTGGCAAATTACTTAGTCTGAACCTGTTTTAATGACTAAAATGACGCCAAGTCAAGAGCGACTAAGAGATTTGGCCAAACTTGAGTTTTCCGTCTGTAAATTATTGTAGAGGTGGAGTGATAAAAGATTACATATACTATTGTGACATTGAATAAATTTTATAGTAAAATAATTGTATTTTGTAGATTAAAAAAATCATGAAACCTATTAAATAAATATTTAAAACCAATACATAACTTTCGAGGCAGAAATGTTAAATTCATCTTTTTTCCTCCTTACAAAGGTAACTTCATAATCACTAAACAATGAATAACTTTGCTCTCAATCCACTTACTCAACTTTCTTGTGACATAAAAAATAAACCACCTTGTTGACAAGCCTAAGAATATTTCACGAATCTTTTCAAAGAGTTCTTTTTAAGCTCTCGAATTACAAAAACAAAACTCTTTTGGGAATCTCTAGAATAAAATTCAACTAAGGCACGTAAGCAAAAACCGTTTTAGGAACTCTTGGCAGCAAATATTTTATTTCACTTTCGTTTTATTTACTTTTGCCGCTTAGCATTATTGTTTTAAAATCCTTCAAATCCGTTGTTTCACTGCTTATTGTCCGCCCAACTCAGCCCACCAACTTTGTTGCCAGCAACTTTTAAGCTTGCTTAAGGCGCCCAACAAGACTTGGTCCCGTCCCGGAATTACGGAAAACTTTCCCATGCAGCGCGATGAATGGGGCATCATATACCATCCAGCCAGCTAGCTAACCCACCACCCACTGAACCGCCGAACCACTGAGCCACCCAACCACCGTCGTCCAATTTGTAGTTCATCATCTGTCCCGCGGACCTGTCAAAGCCGTGCGCGAAATATGACAGAGCGCCTAATTGAGGGAGCGAAAAGAGCGGCGGGGGATTCCCCGAAAACAGTTTTGACATTTGCATTTAATTTATTTTAATTGAAAAAGGCCCGCAAAACGGATTAGCTTGTCGAATTTTTCAAAAAATTACACAAAAAGAAATAAATCAGCAGTGTTTTTGAAAAGTATTCCAAGTATAAGTTTTGAAATTCCAAAAAATAAAAATTGAAAAACCAACTTAAATAAAAGACAACCATAAAAGTATTTCAGTTAAAGGGAATAGAGAAAATGCTTTTCAAAATGAAGTTCTCAAAAATATATCAACATTTTTGGATTATCTTCTATAGTTTTATGAAAACTTAACATAAAAATAATAAATAAATACTAGACAAACCCTATCTCATCTTCTATTGCCTTGACCTATCATCAAATAAATAATATTATTTCTGTGTAGAAGAAAGCCAAGTTGAAAATTGCGGCTGTAGAAGTTTTGCGCGCAAGTTGCTTATTAGGTCAAGTTGGTCTGACAGCTCGGCAATCCGCCGGAATCAAAGTCAGAAACAAAACCCGAGGGCCAAACTATTTTTACAGTCTCCCGCCGTCGCTGTAACAAAGTATACGATTTTTACGATGATGCATTAAATTAAAAACTTTGGCCCAGAGTAGAGTCCATTAGCTGGTGGAGAAACACATGAGGGGCGAAAATGCAATGCCACGCGGCGGCAGCAGCAGCTTATTTATGGGCGAGATTAAAATTTTTTAAATGGAAAGTAATTCCCCAAGTGCGGCCATAAAACAAAACTCGCCAGCCTCTCAAACTTTTTCATCATCTCGTTTGGAATCGACATCTTGAGGGCGGCGGAAGAAGTTCTTGTTGGTTTTAACGACTTTGCATTGGTTTTCATGGCCAAAATGCCGAAAGCAGTCGAGAGCTGGCTTTTATGGTTGACACAACATATTTGCCGGCATTCCGAGGCAATTGGCAACTCTCACATATCCGGAGATACCCATCCACTTCCCCATCCTAATTGTTGCGCCCCAGGATTTTATGGCACTTTGAGAGCCATTAATCCGAATTTGATATCTGCCTAATTAGTTTTCCCTGCTTCGCTTTTATGGCCGACAGTCTCGTAAATTTTCATGATCGATTCGAGGCGGCAGAGCGCGAAAAGAAAACTCCGCCCCGGCGATAAGGATCCTCACACATCGTTTCGGTTGGTGTATAATTCAATTTAATTAACAATCATTCCTCTCCAGCTTTTCTCTTTCTCGGCGACCTTTTAATGATGGGAAAGTAAGACAGGCGACTCCAGTAGAACTCCATTACCATGTCGGGAATGCGTAGTTTGACCACATCCGCTGGGACTCGTTCCAGCTCGGGTTGATCCTTGAATTTGATGTTGTACATTACAGAACCATTGGGATTTATAAAAACGGAATCTATTCGTTCCACCATCAGTCCGCGTCTAAAGCCATTGCAAGTCATGATCTGAAAGAAAATGAGGATTTCGGAATTAGAAAATATTTAAATTTTTAAGTGACCAGGTAAGTTGGGTAAAGGCGACACCCTAGAAAGCTGCTGTATCTCTAACTGTGGTAACACTGGTGTGTGAATCTCACTCGTTTCTCCTTCAATTCCCCCTCCTTTGCTTTCACGTCAAACAATGCGAAATGCACTTTGATTGTTGTTGACCAACAAACAGGCACGCGTCCATCTCATCTCCGTGGAAAAGCACGAAAAGTGGTAGTGACCAGTGAATAGCTGCTAATGTGGCTGCCACTTTGTTAGCACGTTTTCGCGTTTTGGGCCAAGGCTTTTTGCTACATTTTACGCAGGCCGGCTTTGTCCAATTCTGGTGGAGAACTGAAAGACAGGTCCAGCTCCTCCTCCAGGAATTCCATTTGATTCAATCAAAGCATTGACATTTTCCTCAATTGAGGAAACGGCTAACCATGCTTGCTCCATCTGCTCTACTATTAAATGAAGCTAATAGGGGGGAAATCACCTGCTTCGCCTGCTTTTATTGCCAATCAGGCCAGAAATCGCATTGCGAGGAGATTTTATCGCGGTTTAATAGCAACTCACCTCTTAAATTATAAAAATCCACTTCAAAAGAAAAACGAGATTTCAGATGTTTCCGGCAAAAGTGACCGTTCGTTTCCCCACCAGTGTTGTTAGTCGCCTAAATTGCCATGGCAATGTGTTATCGATATTTGCTATTACATAATTGCGTGTTTTTTTTATACCCGTAGCGAAAACTTTTTGCTTTTCCTTTAATTACCAACTGTCGCACCTGAGGCCAATTATCGTGTAGAGCCAGAAAA